ATAAAACTGCAATCCCCCGCAGCTAAAACCAAATCAGTATTGCAAATCAAATATGAAACCTTCTAAGAATCATAAAGAAAAGTCATTTAGGGCCGTTTGGGGCGGCTTAAATGTGCGGCGGCTTAAATGTGCGGCCGCGTTTCGAGGGTTTAAAAATCGCGTTTTACATGTATTTTTAGAAACAGCTTTCTTAAGTTATATTTTGGGCTCCATATTTTTCTTCGCTACCCTCCTAAGCCCGCAGCCGAGGTCATCCTCTTTCCGTCTTCCTTTCTCCTCTCTTAGGACTGGGATGGAGTGGAGTCGAAGCAAAGCTTAGCACTCCCTCCCTTCCTGTTTCCTATTGGTGATTCACGAAAAGAAACTTCCGAAGAGATTGCGTGCTGAGCTTCTAACTGGAGAACCGTCTGAATCTTCTTCTGGTTTGGTTGCCTGTGTTATTTTCTTACTAGGAAGGCAGGGGCGATGTAGACGGAGAGCTTCTGGGGATTTCGGAGTGCATAAATTGAGTGATGGCTGCCGTTGTAGCTACTGCCTCATCAGGGATGAGCGAGTCGGCGTTCAGAGTCGAGACCACGCCCCGGCTAGCACAATGGCGGATCGAAGCCCTCTCATCTTTCTCCTATCGCAAGTCCGATCCCTTTAAGATCGGCCTCTGGAATTGGTTCTCGTTCTTTCTAATCTTCTCATTCTTTGGATCTAATTTATTACTGTTTTGTGTCTTAGAAGAAGGGAAAGGATTTCTTCTTACAAATCATGACCTCTATTTTGTAGCGAATGTTTTCTGCCAATGAAAGCATACGAATTCTTTTGTTCTTCGTTTGAAATTGTTTTTTTTTTATTTTTTTTTTTGCTATAATTCAGATCTAATAAGCTATTTCTTATAGATTGGCAGTACGACTTGAAACTCTTTGGTTATACTAATCTATATGTAGTTCATCCAGCCATTTTGGGAATATTTTTCCCATTAGATGCTATTCTTGTTGAAGAAAAAAAACACCATGTTGCTTATTTTTATCCTCAAAAAGCAAAGATAAATTCTGGAATTACTTCATTTTTAATCTTACATAAAGAAAATTTAAATCTCATTTTTTCATTTCTTACATAAGATACTATCATAGCTTATTTGGCTGGTCAGTCGGTTTCTTGATTGATGGTTTTGGCAGATATTGAATGCAACCTTTGGATGGTTCCCTTCTGTCAAATTTGATTCATTGTAGTATTAAATTTTACTTTCTTAAGTGAATTGGATTGGAGTTTGAATCTATTCTGCAGTTTCTTCATACTAGCAGGCAAAACAAAAGATTGTTAATGGATTTTACAATTCAAATGTACGGTGGAAAATTATCACTCACATATCAGAATTAAATTTTTAATCGTCAATAGCAGTTGCATAATGTTTGGTTTATTTGATTCCTAGCATTTTGAATTATCTAAAGCATCACAAGTATGCTAGTACAATGTTTAGGAACAATTCTCTAAAATTTCAAGTTAAAGAGTTGACCTTTTTGGTTGGTTGTTCTCTCTATGTAAGATGCGGCCTAAACCAATGTATTGATATCACATTGTATCCTGAAAACTAACATGTTTAAATTAGGAAATAATGTTTCTATTATGAATTGGAGTGAAATGGCTATGCATGTTACGCCACACCCACCACCACATCCCCATCAAAGTTGTAAAAAGGTGACCATTTGATATATTTTTTAGTGTCGTTTACCAGATAACTTTATTTTGCTAATTAATTTACATAATTTGAAGATTTGTTTTTAACGAAAAAAAAATCTATGTTTTAGTTGGATTTCATGTTCATAATATGTTGGACATTGTAAGGTGTATTTTTTATTATTGCATTCTAACATAGGTGAAGTAATGAGCTCATTTGATTATTTGTAGATTTGTTGACGTTTAAATCTATAGTTGTTAAGCATTACATGTGTAACTGAAAAGAGATGTGGTAATGAGCAGAAAATTAACCAATAAGAAACCTGAGAACTAATTGGCTTAAGTTTCCTGTTTCTTGACCTTTGTCAACTAGTACTTTTGGGAGGGAGGCAAACTAATATGCATGCATTAACTGCACACTCATTTTTGTTGGTTAGTCACAAACTTTCTATGTTTTGAGAAATAGTTTCTCAAACTCCGAGGGAATGAGGGACTTTAACTGCACTATTTGAGGTGAATATCAAAAGTGGAGTATGATTTTGACCTTCTTTAGTTTTATTCTCCTTCCATCATTTATATTCATACCAAAAACGAAAGAGATTCCAAATTTGTATAAACTTGTTAATCTATTTAAGCCCATGCATATTGTGAGATCATGGCCTTGTGAATCATGAATGAATATTTGATGTTAACAAAAAACCAGTTTCATTTCCACTAGTTGTCTTGTGAGTATTTAATAAAAATTTTCAGAGGGATCGTACTTTTGCAGGCCCGAGATTATAATCCATATTAGTGTGTGAATGTGTAATGAACTTTCATATATGTCACTATGTTTTTTTGACGTAATCACAACTTTTTTGAGTTATATAAATATTATTAAACTTTTTTGTATTTTCATTTCTTGACATTTGAGAAAATAACATTCTGCTACATAGATTATTCATTCAACTAAAAAAATTTGCGAATAAGCTGTTTACAAAACGCACTAACCAAACAATTCAACAACTTATCCAGAATAGGGGTAGATTTTGGGGCAGAATGATCAATTTTACAGAATCAATTGTTTTCCAGACGCACTAACCAAACAACCAGACAGCTTATCCGGATCAGCTGGTCATCAACAGATTAGCAGGATAAGCTGCTTATCAGCAGAAGCTGGATAAGCTGCAGCTGCCCCAAACAGACCCTTAATTTACTCTCTTTTATTATCTTCTGGGATTTTAGTTTATTTAGTCAAAAGAAAGGAAATAAGATGAGAGAGAAAACATAGAGATCTCTTCTTTTATCTATTTTTATTTTATCAAATTAAATCTCCATGAGTCTGTGCAGCTGGGAAAAAATTTGCGTACGTCATACGTACTCATCGCTGCGTACGTTTTGGAGGTTATACAAGGGGTATAAGGGAGTTATATATGCATTATACTCCCTTGTAACCTCCATGTAACCTTTTGTAATCTACCTGTAACCTACAAATAAGTTCTTAATCTATGAAAACAGAAGCGCGAAACTTATTTTTATGTTATAGATAGGTTAGAGAATGTTACATGAAAGTTACAAAGGGGTATAATGCAGATATAACCCACTTATACCATTTGTATAACCTCCAAAATGTACGCAGCGCTGCGTACGTTTTACGTACTCAAATTTTTTACATAAATAATTGTACTACTTTTCTTTTCTTCTTTCTGAGTTGAGTATACATGCACTTAAGTGTATCACACTAACTATTTTGATGATAACAAACTTAATTAAAATTTTTGAAATTCACTTAATTTATTTTCCTTCATCAAAATAAGGTTTGAATTTTGCGTGCAAAACTATTTCAAAAATTAAATTTGATATTGAACTTTTTATTTTGAATTGTCAATAAATATTTGCATTTTAAATATATTATTAATGATTTTTTTTCAAGCTTTGATCTTATAGCCCAATTGGATCAGAAACATCATTTTGAGTAAATTTATGTATATTACTTGGTTATTTTAATCAACTTTTCATTGAGGTATATAATCAAAATCAAAATATGAAAACAATTTAAAATAAAAGATATGTACATACATACCATAAAATTCCTATGTTTACATATCCTACTCCTAAAATTTGATATTTACATTTATAACGCTTTAATGTTAAAACCTATGGATGAAAATATGTATTTCACTTTTAGAACTTAGTTATAGTGACATTTTGATGTCATGTCAATGATTTCAATAGTGCATATGTAATTATGAAAACTATGGGAATTGAGCTTTTTTGTGTTGACTAGATTAAACACAAATTCGACAATAATTAATGTTTATAGTTGGATTTGCATCTGATTTATGTCTGAATATTTCTGTTGTTAATTTGGGGGTCGGTAATGATAATTCTATCAAATTTATGTCGAAATATTCTGACACAAATAATTTGTATAGATTTTATCCTCGTATTAACGTAAGATTGTTTATTTAAAACTTGCGTCAAAATTTGTATTTAAAAATATCAGACGTTAAATAAATGTTCAAATTACCGTTAAATTTGCATCAGAAAATATCAATGAACGATGGAATTTTAAAATCAATTTTAACATCGGATTTTGCGTCGGAAAAACGAATGCAGATCTGACGCAAACATGCAATTCAAAAAATCAATTGCATTTCTGTAACCTGCACAAAAAACACATTCCACATCACATACCATATTAAACATAGTCATATTACAAATCAAATCTCTAAACAATATCATTAAAAAACAGAAGATACTGTTACAAATCGTCCCAAATAAAAATAGTAAAGTTAATACAGAAAATTCCACAACAAATATTCAGCACAATACTTACAAATAAAAGAAAACATAAGAATAAACTACCCATCATCGCCATCCTCTGCCTCCTCCTCCTCCTGTACGAATGTCATCAGCTTCTTGCCCTGGCTATCTGCAAAGGTCTCTGTCATGCGCGCTATAGAGTCCTCGACTCAATGTTGTCCTTCTAGTATATGTTCGCACAACTGGCAGATTACAGCCACCAGTCTGGCAAGAGCCTCCTGGATTGGCTTTGAGGAACTCGGGGAACTAAGAATTGGACCACAGGAGAGCTCAACCTTGAAGGCTATGCCTTTTGCTCCAAGGTCATAAGCCCTCCCACTCTTCCTCACTGCTGCGTGGGTCCAACGATCGTACTAAGACTGTGTCTTAGTAGACTGAATATCACTACTGTTGGCAAAAGTCTAGATCTAAGTGGCCAAGTGCCTCTCCATGAGCTACCCGAACTCCTAATGTATAATGAAAACTAGTGTTTAATTGACACTTTCAACAGTTAAAGCCAAAATAAACTTTTGATGTAAGGTTTTTTAAACTTATAGCAACCCTCTGGGAATGCTCTGAGACCCACTGCACAGTCCCCGAACGTCGATGAGTTTTGACATGCAGCTCGCAACAGAGGGAGCACGGCTCAACGCCTTGGCCTGTGCAGTGTACAAAAATGGCTAGTGCTAAAAAATTAATCCAAAAATTAAATTAATGTCTAAATGTTTAAAGAAAATCTTATTAGCCTCCCATAGTGCTCCGTATGGGAGACAAATCTGCCAATATGGAGCACAATTACCTTGGAACCCTCCGCCACTTGGTTCGCCCTTTTCATCTGTCTCGTCCTCCCATAATCAAGAGAGGCCCAAGATGCATTTAATTGACCCCAAAGCCCCTCCCTGATCCAGGCAGGCCACTAGTACCCGCAGCGGACCGTTGTGAACATGCTGGCAAGGCGATGCATGCCCCGAACCTCAAAGATTCGGCGAATATGATGGTGGCGCACTAACAACCAGGTGAAGGACCTCTGGAACATAAAAAATAATACATGTTCTAGTGTAAGGAATTAAATTAAATATACATATTTGATCCAAATTATGTGATCGTACCTCAAACTCTCTAAAACACAAGTCTCAAGTGGCTACAGGGTTCTGCTTCCATGATAGATAGGGCTCATCATTCCTGC